TTTACTACTGGCGCTTGGCTTTGCTCGCAGTACTCTGGAGTGTAAACGCTTCGCCTATGAGAAAAAGGAGCAGCGCATGAACCGAACGAAACACACGCGAACCGAACCGAGACAGTCGAACCGAACGGTTCGGACGGTTTTCATAAATCGTTCCATCCCTAATATTTTAATACCTTTTTTCCTCAGTAAAACATGTACTGGAATGAGGAATTTTAGCAGCTTTTTTGCAACACCCCCATCACATTACTCAGATTTTGTCATGGTTTTTTGTTCTGCTCAAATTTTATCTCTGAGTTTTTTATTGTTCTTATTTACATTTTTGTGTTCTACTGATTTTTGATTATATTTGTGTTCTTAGGTATTTCTTGTTTGCCCTCTGCTGCCCTCCTGTGTCAGTCTCCTTTTCCCTAGCTCCCTTCTAGACTCCTCTGTTCAAACCTGGTCCCAATCTGCTAATTAGCCTGGTCTTTGTTTCTCTCCCATATACTCTCCTCCTGTTCAGTCACTCTTGGCTGGTTTGTCGTCATTTCTTTGCCCTGTTGATGTTAGTATTCCTGGATTTTCAATATTTTTGGATTTTTGTGGAGTCATGTTTTTCGATTTTTGCTTCTGTTACCCTTGTTGTTATTAAATCTTCAAGAAACCACTTCAGCCTTTGTGTCTGCATTTGGGTCCTCCTTCAAACCCTCACCCCCACTTGACAGATTTGAGTTAAACTTTACATAAACATCATCTACTGAATTATCCCAGTGTGGATGAAATATAGCAAACTGCTGTTTTTGTACTTATTTCACTATATGAAACAAAAAAAAAAATCTCACATATGAAGGTATCTAAATTTGCATGACCCAGCATGTAAAAGCATGTGTGTGTTCTGCTCCACTGCCTGTAATGCTGCGAGCCAACGGCCGGGTCATCTCCAAGCGACCCGGTTCTGCCTCTACTAAATGTCAGTCTAGTGCATAACAGTGCCTTATTATTGCAGAATGACATTTACAGTGAACTTTAAAAGCCAACAGATAAGCAACGATCCCATTTCAGCCTCAAAGGAACTACAAAGACCAAGAGTTTACAGAGGAGGCAGGAAAGATTGCTGTGGCAATCACCGTCAGAGGAAGGTCAGACACTTCCAGCATGGAGGTCGGATTAAACCCTGTGATGATTTGATCGCTCCGCCGATTGCTTGGTGGTCTCAAGGAAAATTGTTTTCAGGAAGAAAAGACTGAAACTGTCCGAGAAGTTCAGTGTTTCTAAGTGTTGTGATTGTTTGTTTTTTAACTTTTCGACAGAAATATTTCAAACTTTAAATAGGAAATTAGGTGTAGAAATAGAAATAGAAAAAGAAAAGTATATAAGTCCTTTTCAAGCATTAGATTTATTTTGAATAATCATAATTAGTCACTGTAGTGATTAAACATACTCTATGACTCTTCATTAAATACTAAATGCAAAATAGGCAATTAGAATTGTTTAACACAAGTTATTCATAAAATGAAACAATACAAAAGCACATCTCTAAAAAAGATTCAAGTTGATTTGAAATTTTAGTTAACATTCTGATAAAAATGTGACAATTTAAAGGCAATAAACTCACCGAGCAGACGTCAACAGTCGCATTTGAATGTAGTTTCTGAGCCTGCAATGAAAAAACAAGACAAAAAATTATTAAAATAAAAAAGAAATCATATTATCAAAAGTTTTTACAATTCTGGCCGACTTATATTTGAAGCATTTTTACAAACATTTAAGCTGAATGGAAGCACACTTTATATTTTAAAGTGGAGCAGCCAGAGTTCTGACTTTTCTTTGATAATCTGTAGAGAAAACTAAGATGTCGTTCATGTCACCTTTTCCCAAGTGTACAAAACATATCCCCTTTTTTATTATTGAGCCTATAATAAAAAATGAAGTGGAATGTGGTCATTACACATTTTTACATAAAAGAAAATTATTTCACACAGCTCCATACTGCCTCGCTGTTTCCTAATCACACCTGAACTGCAATTACATCAACCTGTGAGCAGTGTCTCAGTTATTAACTGATAATGGTATCTGTGCATGAGTCAGTATTAAGCACACACAGGAATTTAATAAGTATGGTAAAGTACTCTGACTACCTAGAACCAGAACCAAACATATAGAAGCAGCTTTTAGTTCTTATGCTTTGATGATCTAGAAAAAACTATAAAAATGCTGAAACCCTAACTTGTTTTAAAAATAAGCAACTTTAAAATACTTATTTGTTTGTAGTAGCCTTTGACTGTCCTATCTAAACATTAGTTTATGCTCACGATGCAACTCCAATATCTAAATGTTTTTATTTATCATCTAGTTAATTATTTAAACATTTAGTTTCAATATATATATATATATATTTCTATTCTCCAGAATAACTCATATTCTTTAGTAATTTTTTACCTCAATTCCAGTGCAATGTACGTTTTTCTGTGTTTTCCTATGATCTATTTTATGTACTAAACAGCAGTTTGAATTGTCCTTCAACT